GTCGGACGCTCAACTGACTGAGCCACCCAGGCGCCCCTAAGTTTTTAAGATTTTTAAGTAGGTTCCATGTCCAGTGTGGAGCCCGATGTGGGGCTTGAACTCACGACACTTTGATTAAGACCTGAGCTGAGATCAAGAGTCGGATGCTTAACAAACTGAGCCACCAAGGCGCCCCCATTAATCTATTTGAATACTGAAACTGCTTTTGGCTTTCGCTATTACCAGAGTATTCTGATGGGCATCCTTGTATGTCTTTGTGTACATATCTTTGTGCACTTGTGTGATTTCCTAGTTAAATTCCAAAAACGGAATTACTAGGTAAACGGCGGGGCTCACAAGCTTCACACATTACAATTGCTGAGCAGACTGAACACATCTGTTTGCAGGCGACCTGACGGTGACCCTTGGAGTATCTCAAGGGCAGGAAAGGAGGAACCTTGAACATCACATAGTCCACCCCTCATTTCACAGACAAAGTGAGCTTCAGAGAGATTACGTGATCCTGGCTGGCAGAGCTGGTAACACTGTAGAGCAAGAATCCGAACTGGATGGTCTAGAGCCAAGTCTTGTACATTGGGCCACACTAGAGGCATTACAAATACTGATGGAATAATGTCAGTGAGTGGAAGTGCATATAAGATTCTGTGAGAAGAACAAGAATATAGCAGGCACACACACTGAGAGGTTTGGTTTTCTGTGAAGTCAGGAAGAGACATCACCTAGGGAGGTCGAGCGGCCACACAGCAAAGGCCCAGGGGCGGAATGACCATGTCCTGAACCCTTTCTTTTTTTAAAAAAAAAAATTTTTTTTTTATTTGACGCTTATTTATTTTTGAGACATAGAGAGACAGAGCATGAACGGGGGAGGGTCAGAGAGAGAGGGAGACACAGAATCTGAAACAGGCTCCAAGCTGTCAGCACAGAGCCCGATGCGGGGCTCGAACTCACGGAGTGTGAGATCATGACCTGAGCCGAAGTCGGTCGCCCAACCGACTGAGCCACCCAGGTGCCCCATGAACCCTTTCTAAGTTAGGCAGCGTGGCCAAAGCTTTATAGACGTTTTCACTTTTCATACAAATATCCTGAGTGGTCAGTGTAGTTGCCTTCATGGATGAGGACCGCAGTGCCTGGAGAGGCTGAGGACAACGGACCTGGCATTACAGTTAGCGTGCAGTGGAACCAGGACTTGAACCCAGGCCTGGCTGCTGCCTGGCTTGGAAGAACGACCTCTTCTATCCTAGGTTCCAAATACTGGAGGCATCAATTTCTTAGAGTCAGGCTCACCCTAAACCATCTCCTACAGACCAGACGCCAATTTATTATACAATCCCAGGCGGTACGCTCAGGTAACTGCGCCATTCCGGGTGTCCTCTACAGGGTTTCGGGACACCCGGGGACCAGAATCAGTAATCAGAAAGGTGGCTGGTGGGCCTGGAGTCAGGATGAGGGATGCAGGCAGCCCTGGAGAGCAAAGGGAAACCGGAAAGATCTTCGGAGCCTGCTGTTCCCTCTACTCTTGCCCCAGGTATCCCTGAAGCTTGCGGTCACACCCCTTGTGCGTTGCCTCCTCAGCAAGGCGTGTCCTGTCTGGCCAGCTTCAGCCTGTCACCTCGCCCTGGCCTTCTCTAGTACCTGCCCTGCTCACCACGCCGTTGCCCTTTGATGGACTCGGTTTCATTTAGTTGTGTGCAGTCACTAGAACACAGCTCTATGAGTACAGGGACTTTTGCTTATTTGGTTTACTGCTGCATCCAGTTCCTGGCACTTACTAGGTACTCGATTTTTACTGTTTAAAAAATGCTTTTATTTATTTTTGAGAGAGGGAAAGAGACAGAGTGCCATCAGGGGAGGGGCAGAGAGAGGGGGAGACCCAGCATCCGAAGCGGGCTCCAGGCTCCGAGCTGTCAGCACAAAGCCCGACATGGGGCTCGAACTCACGAGCCGTGAGATCATGACCTGAGCTGAAGTCGGACGCTCAACCGACTGAGCCACCCAGGCGCCCCAGAAGGTACTCGATTTTTAAAACAGAAACCAGTGAATTCAAAATCAGTCAGATCCAGATTCAAGGCCCAGCTCTGCTCCCCACGAGCTGTGTAACTTGAGGCAAGTCATTTAACCCCTCTGCCCCGGTTTCCTCATTTGTAAAACGGAGGGAAGTTGTTCGGTCAGGACTAAATGACACAACAAAAAATGACCTAATCCAGAGCCTTGAACACAGTGGGTCCCTAATTAATTACAACTGCTCTTATGAAGTATTATTCCATCCCGACCATGGTGAAGCCCGAGACCGTCTCTGTGTGGTGCCTCGAGGAGAAGGTCTCCTCCTGCAGAGTACGATAAATGCATCAACCTTTGCTCTTCATGCCCTCCTTCCCCCACCTTTCCTGCACTCCCATCAGTACGGCTTTTTTCCCAGTTAAAATAGAACACAAGTGATTAGGTTTCATTTCTTTTACTTAAATTACCGTTGGGTCTTTACATAAATCATATTAACTGTAAGTGTTTCGGGGGCCCCTGGGTGGCCTGTTTGGTTAAGCATCTGCCTCTTGGTTTCGGCTCAGGTCACGGTCTCACGGTTTATGAGACTGAGGCCTGGGTGGGCTGGGCTCTGTGCTGACGGGGTAGAGCCTGCGTGGGATTCTCTCTCTGACCCTTCCCGGCTCATGCTCTCTCTTTCTCTCTCTCTCTCTCCCCTTCAAATTAAAAATAAATAAACATTAAAAAAAATACAAGTGTTTCCACATTTATAAAGGCTATTTCCTTGGATTGTTTCTACAAAGGACCTCAATTCTTACCATCATAATCCCATTTCTAAATTCTGGAGGTATTTTACTTCTCTCCTATAGATTAACTAGCATAAGGACTGGAAAAGAATAAAGAATGATAAATATCTTGTGTTTCAATTCATGGTATTTTTCCTCCTGAGAAGATATTGAATAAGAATTCAGATCTAGGGCGCCTGGGTGGCTCAGTCGGTTGGGTGTCTGACTTCGGCTCAGGTCATGATCTCACGGTTTGTGAATTCGAGCCCCGCGTCGGGCTCTGTGCTGCCAGCTCAGAG